GGAAAACAAATCAAAAGTAAGGCCTTTCGCATGAGGCGGTGTTGGTTGACTTCTCAAAAATTGGGTTCCCTCATATGTCACTGAGGCTAGGGCTGGACATCCCGCTGTTTGCCTGCATACATATAAATAAAGAGTGAGCTAACGCCTAATGAATAATACTAGAGTAAAGGGGCTTATGAATGAGATTCATTAAGTAAATCATACTTGTGATTAAACATTTGAAATATTCTTCTCGTCTTGTCAGATTTATAAATCATAACAAAGCAGAACAACCTCGGGTCCATTATATGCAAAACGACCTTGGGTCCAATTCGTATACAAAACAACCTTTGGTTTATTATATGCAAAACAACCTTGGGTCTAACATTTCATATTCACATTTGCATTCGTATTCAAAATGACCTTTGGTCCATCATATGCAAAACGACCTTGGGTCCAATATTTCATATTCACATTCGTATTCGTATTCAAAACGGGTCCAATATTTCATATTCACATTCGTATTCGTATTCAAAACGGGTCCAACATTTCATATTCACATCGTATTTGCATACAAAATGACTTTCGGTCCAATCAATTCCTTATTGAAAATGACTTTTGGTGCATTTAACAATCATACAAAACAGCCTTAGGTCCAATCCATATCTTTGTCAAATATACCGAATGGTCTTGGGCCCATTTCATACTCATACATTAATCACTTTACATGTTCCATTACGAATCAATCGGACAGAATACTCATTCATAGTACCAATTCGGAAGTTTAGAAACTCACCACATAGTTAACATTTAGAAAATAACATATACACCAAAAATATCTTTACTAAGATATTACTCACAATGTTCTAGTGCTTGATTCATCCTTGCACTTGATGCTACATAATTCACAACACATTGCATCATAATACAATTCAATCCGTTCTTTAGTTTGCTTAATTCTATTAGGCTTCCTTCGTGTCCTTTAATTCATTTAGGATGCTTAATGTGTGCCTAAGAATGCTCAGAAATGAAAAAGAACAAAAATTGAAACATAAAACAACTTTTCAAAAATTTCTAAAATAGGGCACTCTGCTCGAGCGCAACTTCTTTTGCTCGAGCGGTCTGTAAAGCTCTGCAAAAGTATTGGTTTCTTGAATTTTAGGCTCGAACACAAGAACTGGTAGCTCAAGCCAAGAGCAGTTCAAAACAAGGTTAGCTCAAGCGCAACTTTTGCCGCTCAAGCCACCGTGCAATTGTCTATAAAACTTTTGGGAGCTTAACTTTTATGCTCAAGCACCACTTCCTACGCTCGAGCGAACTGATCGAATTCTGGAATTTCCAGAACTGTGTTTCAAGTTCAGAACATGTTTCCATAGGCTTAAAGCTTGCAAGTTAATACCAAAAACATGGAAAAACATTATATAACATGAAAACACTTCCAATTGAAACCAATTGCCCACAATCATGGTCCATTTTCTCAAATTTGAACTCGAATCTTAAGTTATGAGCCATGTATGTCTTAACTTAAATTTTCTTCTTTCAAAACATGATCAAATGACATGAGAAGTATGAAAGCATGAAGAACTCTTCAAGTTGAGATGTAAAAGTACCATGCATGTAAGAATTTCAAAGATTCCATCTCAAATTATGCATGCATGTATATGATTAACTCTTATCTTCCAAATTCAAGGTAATACATGTCTTCATTATACAATTACATGCAAATGAACTCAAGGACTAGATGAATTTAACTTCTACATGTTTTATTTACAAGGATTAAGGTTGAAGATTCTACGTAAGGGCTTGAATTCAAGTGTACGCTAGTTCAATTCTTCAAATCTCCTTCAATTCCTTCACAATTCTCTTCTCTCTCTCTCTCTCTAAGTGTTGAGTTAACTCTCCTTCTCTCTCAAAATCTCAGCTCATTACAACTTTGAGCTCAATAAAGCTCATATATCAAATATATATAGGTGTAATTAGCTTAAGTTAATCAAGCTTACTTATGAATAATTAATCCCACTCAATTTTGAATGATTCTAATTATTTATTCTAATTATTTTGATCAGAATCAATTTTTAATTAAATTTCATGATAGGCTCTAAAAATTATGCTAATCACAATGGCATAACCAATTTTGGTTTCTGACGCCCCTACAACTCTCAATTTTAGTTTATACTAGAATACTGAACATATTTTCCTACGGTGGACAGAAGTGAATTCAAAACTACACATAATCACATATTTACATCTAAATTCACATCAAGCACATAATCACAAGTATAATTAATGATTAACAATATATCGCAGAACAGGGTTATCAGATTCTCTCCCTTTTTAGGAAGTTTAGTCCTCTAAACTTATGTTACCTTCCTTCGAAAATAAATGAGGATAGTGCTGTCGCATCTCTTCTTCTTTCTCCCATGTGGCATCCCTTCCATAATATTCTTTCCATTCCGCTTTCACCATTGGAATGGATTTGTTTCTCAGTTGCTTTACTTGTCAGTCAATAATTCGTTCTGGTCATTCCTTGTACTCCATATTTTCGTCAAGGGCTATTCGGTAATAATCAATTACGTGGAACGGATCTCGCAGATAGCCCATCAACATTGATACGTACGTGGAATACGTTGTGTATTTGTTCCATTCCCGGCGGTAGAGCAACTCTATAAGCCACTGGACCAAGTCTTTCCGGAATTTGAAACGACCCAATGTAACGAGGTGACAATTTACCCTTTTTACCGAACCTCAATTGGCCTTTCGTTGGATTTATATGGATGAACACATGATCACCAACCTCATATTCAAGAGGCCTTCTTCTAACATCCGCATAACTCTTTTGTCAACTTTGTGCTGTCTTGAGTCTTTGTTGGATAATTTTAATCTTTTTTGTGGTAATTTGTACGATCTCGGGCCCAAGCAAAACTCTATTCCCGACTTCTGTCCAACAAACTGGTGACCTACATTTCCTGCCATATAAGGCTTCATATAGTGCCATGCCGATGTTGGAGTGGAAGCTGTTATTATATGCAAACTCTGCCAATGGTAGATAATCTTCCCAACTTCCTTGAAAATTTAAGACGCATATTCGTACCATATCTTCTAGGGTCTATATAATCCACCTTGATTGTCCATCAGTTTGTGGATGGAATACAATACTAAATCTGAGTTCTGTCCCCATTGCTACTTGAAGGCTTTTCCAGAATCTAGATACAAATTTCGAATCTCTATTTGACACAATAGATATCGGCACTCCATGCAAATGGACAATTTCATTAACATATAAAGAGGCAAATCTATAAGCATCATAAGTAGTCTTTACAGGAAGAAAATGTGCAAATTTAGTCAGTCTATCAACTATAACCCAAATAGAATTCAAACCTCTCGAGGTTCGAGGTAGTTCGACAATAAAATCCATGGTTATATGCTCAAATTTCCATTCTGGAATAGAGAGAGGTTGAAGTAGACCTGTCGGTTTCTGATACTTAGGCTTAACTTGCTGACATTGAAGGCACTTAGACACATACTTCGCAATTTTGCGCTTCATATTAGGCCACCAATAGCTTTGTTTCAAATCTCAGTACATCTTGTTGTTGCCCGGGGTGTATCGCAAACATTGACTTGTGAGCTTTATCTAGAATTCTCTTCTTTAACTCAGGAATGTTCAGCACACGCATTCTATCTTGAAATTTCAACACTATATCCCGGTTTTGGATTCACTTCAAATTCGTCAATCATCTTCTTGAAGAATTCGTCTTCTCTTTGCCTCTGCTGGATTTCATCAATAATTGCCGGTTGGGCTGCAATGGCGACTATCAACTCATTTGGTTTATGTAATATCACTTCAATCTTAGACTTCTCAAAGTCTTGCAAGATTTTCTTCTGTTCAGTGAGTATGCAAGTCAAGTTCCCCATTGATTTTTTGCTTAAGGCATCAGCAACTGTATTGGCTTTTCCTGGGTGATATTGAATCTAAAGATCATAATCTTTTATTAATTCATGCCATCTTCTCTGCCTCATGTTCAAATCCTTTTGAGTAAAGAAGTACTTTAAGCATTTGTGATCCGTATCAACTTCACATTTCGCCCCATACAAGTAATGTTGCCAAATTTTTAAAGCAAACACAACAATGGCCAATTCTAGGTCGTGTGTTGGGTAGTTCTTTTCATGTGGTCTCAATTATCGAGAGGCATAAGCAATTACCCTTCATTCCTGCATTAATATACAACCCAAACCCTTATAAGATGCATTACTATAAATCACAAAGTTTTCTGTACCTGTGGGTAATGTCAACACTGGTGCAGTAGTCAATCTCGTTTTCAGTTCTTAGAAGGCAGATTCTCTTTTATGATTCCACTCAAATGGTTGTCCTTTGCGTGTAAGTGGGGTAAGATGCACTACTATTTTTGAAAAGTATGGATCTAGGCTTGGGTTGGTGATTGTGTCTCCTTTTGTAATTAGGTTGTCTTGTGTTTCGGTGTATTTTTAATTTTGGGGACAAAATTTCCTAAGGTGGGGAGGTTGTAGCACTCTTCTTGGTATAATGGAATTATATTTGACTCTTTGATTATCATGATTGAGAACCTTCTTAGTCGATATTTGGGCCTTAGTTGAGGTGTTACCATAGTGGTTGGGCGAGATTGGATAAGAAACTTCAAATTCGAATAGTTGTTATTGAGTAGTCTTCACTCTTTTATCATTTTCTTTCTTCACACTTTGAATCTTGATAAGAGGCTAGAATCATTGGAAATCTTACTTTCGGGGCTTCAATTTGGACACAAAAATGACCTTGAACGGAGTCCGGACAATATAGTTATGCATGTTTGAAGTTTGCAAATTTATGCTGTGCACATAGTTCGCTCAAGTGCAACTTTCACTGCTCGAGCGGTTTGTAGACCCTTCCAGCTCTATTTTTCAAATTTTTTTGAGATATTAGAAGCCTCGATTCACTGCTTGATCACCCTTTTGACCTCTCAAGCAGTCTGTCCAGAATCATAACTTTAAAAGTACCTTTTTTGGTCAAATCTCTTCAATTTTCACTCTCTCTTCTCTCTCTTTCCTCATTTTTTGAGTTTTCAAGCTCTTTAACCTTGATTTAATCTATTTCTATACATCTTTGATCCCTAGTTCCATATACCAAAACGTAGAGCTTGGCAAGGGCTTCCATTTAGCCTGAGCATCGAAGATGGATTTTTGGGCTTTCTTCTCTTCTTGCTTGAGATAGGGATTTCTTTGTTGCTTTTTAATACCTCGTTATAGATATACGCACTACAACAAAAAGTAGTTTTGCCCACACAACAAATTGTGTTAGGAAAAGGCAAATATCGTTGGCAAAGAGTTTTGCCGACCCATAAAGTTGCTTCGTCAACTTGTCGACAAAGGTGTGTCGGGAAAAACTTTTGCCAACGAAATATGATTACGTCGATAACAGTGATGTCTTTAGCGACAAACATCTTAGTCGACAAAAGCCTTCATCAATCGTCGCCATTTTAGACTACGTTGGCAAAAATGGCTCAAATAAGATGATTATGTTTGCCAACCCAAATTGTATCGGCAAAAAATGAGACTTTTGGCGATGCAATATCCATTGGCGAAAGTAGACTTTTAGTGACAAATAGTTGTGTTGGTAAAACATCTAATTGTTTAAAAAATAATAATAATTTGGTATTTGGGATGGCAAAAACTACCATCATAGATAACAAATTACTTTTCAATAATAAATTATTCATTGCTTAAGCAATAAATAATATTCACACACATCAATTCGACAATTCACATGCATCAATTTTTTAACATCCAAATATATATATTTCTATTTATACCTACACATGTTCTTACAATTCAAAATTTAAGTTTATACAAAACAATACTTAAAAGTGAAACTATGTAAAAAAAATAAATAAAATTAAGTCAATCCCAATTTGAACAATATCCCAGAGGTGGAGATGATGCTGCGATTGTTGCATAACCAATGACAATCTGCAATTCTAAGATTAATGCAGTTGAATATGCAAGTGAATAAGCCTTCTACTCATATCCACTCAGCACTCGAGCAAGATCATAATATCCATCTTCAACAACCTACAAACTGAAGTCTTCTCCCAATCTAGGACTCTTGTCCATATCCAAGTTGAGTTCCCTCTTCATTCTAGGACTCTTGTCCCTTATCCGCTTATCTCGGATTCCGATATCTTCGGAGGCAACCTCGGCCTAGCCGAGATGACCTCGGTACAACGACCAAGACACGTGGCACCTCGGCTGACACGTCGGCGTCACCTTGCCACGTGTTGGTACTCAAAAAATATATCCCCACACCTACACATGTTCTTACAATTCAAAATTTAAGTTTATACAAAACAATAATTAAAAGTGAAACTAAAAATAAACAAAATTAAGTCAATCCCAATTTGAACAATATCCTAGAGATGCTGCTGCAATTGTTGCATAACCAATGACAATATGCAATTCTAAGATTAATGCAATTGAATATGCAAGTGAATAAGCCTTCTACTCATATCCACTCAGCACTTGAGCAAAATCATAATATCCATCTTCAACATCCTACATTTAAGAAGGCAAAAGAAAAGCAAGTTCTTATTATTAATATTAGCAGTAACGAAAATTTAAACTTACATTATGAGTTTAACTAGGATTATATTAATCCTTTCCACACTTGGTAATTTACCAGTTTACTTTATGTCTGTATTTAAGATTCCTTATGTGTGGCTAATGAATTGGAGAAATTTCAGTGTAGCTTCTTACATATGAGAGACAAGGAGGATTAAAGAAATCTTAGGTTGATTAAATGGGACAATGTGACTAGATCAAGAGATTTTGGTGAGATGGGTATTGGATCACTTAAAAATTATAAATTATGCCTGTGCTATAAACAAAAGTTCTGTGTGAAAAATACAATATGGAGCAAAATTCATGGCTGCCTAAGACATTTAATTCAAAGAAGGTATCAAGGATTGGTATGATATTATATCATTGGTAAGGGGTGAGACAATACTTAGTAATTTGATAAAACAGAGTTTCAAATTAATAGTTGGTGCTGGGACACATTTTGAAATGGGTAGGCAATTTGTCTTTATGAGTAGCTTAGCCTAGTCATTACAAAAAAGAAAAAAGAAAAAAAAGGTTATATCTAATATTGTGGCCATTAAAGGAGAGAGAGAGCATTGGATAGAAGTTAAGTAATAATAGAGAACTTTATCTCTGGGAAAAAGAAGAGGAGAAATTATAAGATTATCGGATGCCTTTAAGGGCAACAATCAAACTCATGATAGAATGTCATGGAGTTATGCAAATGATGATTTATTTTCTGTAGCCTCCATGAGTAGATTATATCATTTGGTTATGAGTTCCAAGTTTTTTTGTTGGTTCACAATGCGAAAAAAAATAAATATAATCACTACTTGCGATCTATTAGTAAGGAGGAAGGTAGTGTCATCTAGAATTGCTAATAATTGTTGCTTCTATATACTGCTCTGGTCAGTCTGTAGATCACGTGTTGCTAAGGTCTGGTGTATTGTGTTAAGAGCGTCAGGACAGGGGGATACTTTAGATAACCTCATTACCAAAAAAGAAATGATTAGTTCACAAAAGATAAACTCTAGTAAAAAGCTCAATGTTCAATCTAACTACTCAAATTGATATAACAGAAAACTTTATTTTTTTGGGTAAGTAAGTTACAAATTAAGATAAAAGAATGTATAGATATACAAGAGGCATTCCTCAGGAAGACCTAACAAACTAAAAACAACAACAGCAGCCATATGTCAACAAAACTAGAACTAAATGACCATCTCGGCCAACACACTACACTACACTACAGAACAACAAAAACAAGAAAACATAAAAAAAAAACCAAAACCATGAACCAACAACATCCTGAGCTACCAATATGACAAAAGAGATTTCAACAGCATAGCATGCCAAACACAGTGACACTTAGCACCTAGCAGCTCTGTAGCAGGCCAGCATAGCAGCACTAATATAGCAGCAGGCAAGACCATTACAGCAGAACAGAGGCAGCACAGCAAACAGGACAGAAATATAGGGGGGGATAGTAAACAACACAACAAACAGGACAGCAAACGACACAGCCAGCAGACTAAATGAACCAGTCACTTCTCACCTAGAAATATGAACACATTGCATAACAAAGGTCTGTTCAAACACCACATACCAAGACTATGGGGGGGTTGAACAAAACAGGTGTAGCATGAACAAACTTCTCAGTCAAACAGAGACAGCAACAGGAACAAAGCAACAGCAAATATAAGGCAGACAAACAAAGAACAATAGACAAACAATTCAAAAAAATCTCAACTTTCAAACAACTCTCAACCCTACAAGCAGTATATGGACTAAATTCACTCAAACCTCAGCAAAGATTTCCCTCACATAAGTGCTAGCTTGACAATCTGCATAAAAAACAGTTAGAAAAATCTGGCTTATAACACGCATCCCTTAAAAGAAGAGAACCTATGTATAGATCCCCACCAAGCTCAACCCTCCTTCATACTATTAAACCAACTTGACAACCTGCACAAAAATTAGCACATAGATATGTAAAAGATTTATGAGCTCACATCACTTAACCCTCATATATAAGCTCACCATGCACTCAACCCTCAATGCTCACCACACTCCACTCTCAAAGACACTCTCACACTACCCTAAGTGTTTTAGCTCATAACACCCAACTGACAACATTCCTAAGTTCGTACCAGCTTTAACTTGCAAAGTAAAATAGAGAGGAAATATGGTGCTGCTCCAAAGATAATCCAAGAGACCTGCAAGAGGAAAGTTAAAAATAGTAGGAAGCATTAGAAATCTGAGAGGAATGACAAACAAATCAAGGAACATGAAGTCTTAACACAAAAGGAGGGAGTTGCCGTGAATCCAAAAACCAATCATTGGCACCATGCTCCTTAAACTTATTCATAGACAACAACCTAAATCTCACAAATATTTATCAATTTCTTAGGATTTTTCCTATTTTAGGGTTGTGTATCATAGATTTTAATATATATATATATATATATGCATATGTATATAAACACAACCAAAAGAAACCTAATTTTAAAAAATAAAATAAAAATAAGATTGTGTTTCTTCTCAAAATAAAAACCAAGTTCAAAATTTATTTCTAGTAACCGCCAGCCAACATATTAAAATAGCGAAGGGCTTATAGGGTCTAGAACTTAATTTCATACACCGCACTCTAAATTATCTTTGACTGAATTTATTATTTTTAAAAATATTATAAATCTGAAATCCGAACTGATCAAATTAAATCGGAGATAAATCCCAATTCTGATCCAATGTACAAAGACTCAAGCTTTTTACCAAAACTTCAAAGGGGAGATTGTGTATTCTACAGTGAGTCACTCACCCCATCAAGTTGACTCAGAGATGAATACCGAGTTCACTGAACAGTTCATACATCTGATTTGACCCAGATAAGCGTCATTGTCGTCTGAACAAGGTCCTTGCTTTTAGATACTTCACGATACCTCCTAAACTAATTACGAAAAAAACAATAATAGGGTTTAGAAATTAAGAGAGAGAAAGACCAAAAACAGAGCAAGAATGAGATCGAGAACTTACAACGGAACAAGGCAATCGGCAGAAGGCGACAATGGCAATTAGTCCGCAATAGAAATCACGATCTGCAATGGTGCACTTGTGCGATTGGGTGAGAGGAAGAAAGAGAGATGAAGAGGCAATTGGGTGGGTGTGCGATTTTGTGTGTGTGTGTGTGTATGTGTGTGTGTGTGTGTGTGAGAGAGAGAGAGAGAGAGAGAGAGAGAGAGAGGTAGCTGAGTTTCACCATCATTTGGTTTGTTGTCAAAGGGAAAGAGCAGAGCAATCCATGCAGTGGAGAAGATAGGTTTTTGCTTACAGAGAGAGAGAGCGAGCGAGAGGAGAGAGAGAGAGAGATAAGAGGATACAAGCGTGAGAGATTTGGTTCATTTTTTTTTTAATTAAAAAATAGGTAGGTGCTGTTTGGTATATAACGTTTTCAGTTTCTGTTTATATTTATAAAAATTTAAAAAACTCAAAATAAAAACTTGTTTGGTAAAATTTTGATTTATAAATTAGTGTCTCAGTTTATAAATTTGGCCAAAAAATAAAAACATAAAAAATGTGTTTCCTTTTTGAGTTTTCAATTTTTTTTTTTTACCACCCAACACTAGTCACCACCGGTCACCATTTTCCACCACCATCTTCCGCCACCACCACCCACCTTCCACAACCACTTGCCACCACCACTCGCCACCCACTTGCTACCACCACCCACCACCCGTCGCCACCACCACCACCACCACCCACTCGCTACCATTCATCACCCACCACCGTCACCCACTCACCCACTACCACCACCCGCCACCATCACCCACCCACAACCATCCGCCATCCGCCATCTGCCCCCCACCTGCCACCACCACCCGCTATCCGCCATCCGGGGTAATCCTGGAACTACCCCCCGCCACCGTCACCCACCCCCCCACCACTACCACCTACCCGCCACCACCACCACCTACCCGTCACCACCCACCACCACCCACCACCCGCCACTGCCACCACCTACTCGCTATCACCCACCACCTGCCACCGTCACCCACCACCAGCTACCCACCACCCACCGTCACCACTTTCCACCACCGTCTTTCGCTGCCACTTGCCATCACTTGCCATTTTTCACTCTTTTTTATATTTTTTAAATTTTTTAAACATTTTGTCAATTACCAAACGCGTTTGTAGTTTATGTTTTTCTAAAAATAAATCAAAAATAAACAAAAACCAGTTTATAAAATTTTTGTAAATATAAACTGAAAACGTAAACGTTACCAAACACATAAAAATTGTATAATGAAACAAGTTGCAAACTTTCAATGACGAAAATATGTTTGTTGCTGAAAACAATAATCTTGGCCAACTAAAAGATCAATAATGATAGAGACCATTAATTTTGGAGCTCTAAAAAGACCACTAATGACATGACACTCAATAAAAAAAAAATACAACACAAAGGCCAAAACATCAAATCATTCCTGGTAAGGCCCACTGCCACATCATTAGTGATAGCACTAATTAGTGCTCTCACTCATTTTCCCTAAAAGATTTTGTTGCCAAAACAAAGTGACTAACAGCGACACATATTTCGTCGCCAAAAAAACATGGTCATCACTAAAACTTTTTCATTTTTGGAGGGGACATTGTCCCTTGGCGCCTCATTAATATTTTCAATCTACAATGACTGATTGAGAATTACATTGCTAAAAGTCTACCTTTACCAACGAAAATGATTCTTGTGTCACAGAAAGTGCAATTTTGGCTACAAAAAAAATACTTTATCGCCGAAAGTTGTCGCTAAAAACACAATTTCTTGCAGTGACATGTGGTAGTTTTTATAGTATTTAAAAACAAGCTTGATAAGAAATTTTACAAAGAGCATGATAGGGGTTTGGGTTTGGATCTTGGGAGTTGGAATTGGATGAGTTGTGGGTGTTTTGGTTAATTGAGAGGTAGCAAGGCATGTTCGTGTTAAGAGTGAGTGAAATCCCTAATTTATCATTATGGACTTAATTAATCCTAAAGAGGTGAAGATGTGTAATAACGGAGTTATGTGTTAAAGAATTGGAATAGTGGTTTAGTTTTATGAAATGAAACTTAAGTGTGTTTAGTAGTAATTTTTGACTAACTTTGTATTGTAGTTGCATTCTATGAATTGGATTGGTTTTAGGAAAAAGATGAAGTTTTTGCTAATGGTGGATGTAGTTGATGGTTTTGAAATAAGGATTCGATCTTGGAAATAAAATGGCATGTGTAACTCTTTTATGAAATGAAATGAGAAATTGTGTATGTTTCTCTCCGTATTGAGCCAGTAAGGCGGGTCGCCTTGTGATAGGTTCCTCTCCTTTCCTGTTTGCACCCGGCAAAGTGTGACATTGGGGTTGTTTCCCTCCAGGTAAGGCCAATAAAGTGTTATGTGTTGTGTGAGTTGTATTATTTTCCATCCGTGCTAGAGGCCAGTGCAAATGGAAGTTTGTATCACGTTCAGTTATTTATATTTAGAAATATATATTTTCTTGGTAACCTGTTATGGGTGTTCCTTACCCTTAGGCCCATGGCTAGAGAAGATAGTAGATGTGTTGTTACTTGAGTGTACGCAGTGGGTTGAGATATGAGATTGGGTTATGACTTGTATATGTGAATGTGCTTGTAAACAAATATGGAGACGGAATTCTTTTATATTAACGTGGGGGTTTAAATAACTAAAATTGTATTATGAAGAAATGATTTTGGAACTAAACTGGACAATTGGAAAGAAAACAAATGGTTTTACACCTTGTAGTGTTCAAGTGGATGTTTTTAGAGAAAATGTACTTATATAAGTATATTTTGAATATTAAACCGTCATATTATTTATATTGTACGTTATGGTGCATTCATAATCCTAAATATCTGTATATTGTTATTGTTTAGGATCATGTTGGGATCTCTACTAAACTTTATGTTCGTCCCACGTTGCTATTTTTTTTTTTTAGGTGCAAATTGAGAAATGATTCAAGATTGGTGATCTTCCTTAAATTGTTGGCAGCGAGGCCTATATTTGTTGGCAGAACGCCATTGTTGTAAAAGGGTTAAATCCCTTACTTTACTGTATTGGTGTAAGCCTATGGCCATTTTGTGTAAATGTAATTCCTATTACATTCCATGTATGTACAATTGAGAGAACTTTAATTTATTATGGATGTAATGTATGGATACTTCCGCATATTCTTAATAGAAATGGATTTATGTTAATAGATATGGTAAAGTTATTCTGGTAATGAAAAGTTGGGCGTGACACTTCCAATATAACGACATAAAAAAAAAATATTTTATTGGAATTCAATAAAATTTTGGATTTCTAGTTTATGTAAACTAAATTCAAATATAAACTCACCTCTTGAATCATTGGTAGCCATCTTGATTCCATATAACATTTGATTTGCTATAGGATTGGTTGAATTTGGTGTACTTGCATTCCCTTTCCAATTTTCAATTCGATTAGAAAACATATTAGTCATTTTTGTATTTTCAATAATTTGTTAACATTAAGTTGGGTTGTAATCGAATCATATATAATAGTTGTTACCTAAAGATTGTGTAGAATAGTTTGTATGTGTTTGATATTGTAAGGATGTCAACAAATTTGATGATTTTGTAGATCTATTTCTTTTTTGTGCAACAATAGCCTCCTGATTTGTCGAGCTCGAGCAGCCTGCTGTTTACGTTCTATATCCAAACTTCAATAGTTTTCTTAATGAATGTTAGGTAGTATTATAATTGAATTATAATGGAATAGTTGTTTACCTAAAGATTGTGTACAATATAGCATATGTGTTTCATGCTGTAAAGATGTCAAGAAATTTGTCAATCTTGTAGATCTGTTTGTCTTTTGTGCAATAATAAACCTCTTCATTTGTCGAGCATGTGCAGCCCATTGCTTGTTATCCATAACTATTTTTTAGTTTCTACAACATATTTGGATTAATGTTACAATGAAATTGAATAAAATGTATATGATACTATTTATGAAGACTAAAGATTAAGTACTCATAAAATTATGAACATGTTTCTATAAAGGAATAAGAAACATGTACATGAATTAAGCATAACCAGTTAAAGAAAACCAAAAATAAAAGGAAAAATTACTCATAAATCCTATTTTGGTAAATGTTGCTCTAGTTAGTCCTGAGTTTTTTTTTTTTTTAAACCCTTTAGTCTTTTTTATTTTTGATATGATATATGTTTTTGATATATTATGTATGGAGTTTATGTTTCATTTGCTATATAGATATAGAAAACTTTTGAAATACAAACCAACTGTACCAGAAGAATCAGTTGAAGTGTGCTTAGAGACAATGGCATGTTCTGGACCAAAGGTAGAAAAGACGTTTAAGATGAGTTCCATGGTGAGCGGTCTAGCAGATACGAGCCCTTATACCATGGCTCCACCTTATGATCCTACAACCTTTCAATCTTTTGAGAGGAAATCAAATCTAGCAAAGCAAGTGGAGATCAAATGTAAGTTTTTACTGATGTCGCTGATCAACTTCAACATCAACATCAACATCAACATCAACATTAGCAACATCAACTACATCAGCAACATCAACTAAATCTCCTACATCATCAACATCAGCGACATCATCAACATCAACAACATCAGAGACGTCATCAACATCAGTGACATCATCAATATTAGCGACATCATCAACATCAGCGATATCAGTGATATCAGCAACATCAGCGACATCAACGATATCATTAAACATCAACATCAGTGACATCATCAACATCAACAACATCAACTACATCAGCAACATCAGTGACATCATCAATATTAGCGACATCATCAACATCAGCGATATCAGCAACATCAGCGACATCAACGATATCATTAAACATCAACATCAGTGACATCATCAACATCAACAACATCAGAGACGTCATCAACATCAGTGACATCATCAATATTAGCAACATCATCAACATCAGCGATATCAGCAACATCAGCGACATCAACGATATCATTAAACATCAACATCAGTGACATCATCAACATCAACAACATCAACTACATCAGCAACATCATCAACATCAAATACATCATCAACATCATCCACATCACTAACATCAGCGACATCAGTGACATCATCAATATTGGAGGGTTAACATTGCCAAATGTGATTTTTCAGTCACACAAAATAGGATCCCAATCATTAACGTAGGGATACAAACCCAGAATCTTTCATAATATCTCTACCGTTTTGTTCGGAAAGGAGGGAAATCATAAATAAAAAAAAAAAACCTATAGTAAGCTTTTGGGCATTTTTGTCATTACAACATCAATAAAAACTTACGTTTGCTCTCCACCCAAAAAAAATCACGTGTTAAATAAATGGGTATATACATAATTAACGTTCAAACATGACTTATCAATCTACAAAATAAAAAGTAGGACCAAATGGTTCAACAAGTTAAAATTTGGGATTTATTGGTGCTTTGCCCCAAATAAAAAAAAAATAGCAATTGTTTTAAATTTAAAAATGTGATTTTAAAAAGCTTATCATATTTGATATTTGGTAGGACTATAATGAGAAACCTAAAAAATATTTTCTTTTAGAAATTTGAAAAATATTTTCATATTAGTCAATACTAAAATAAAAGGAAAAAAAAAGGAAGAACTAATCAGTGTGTTTGGTTTGAGTTTTTTGGATTAAGTTTTTTGAAAATTGAGTTTTTGGGTTTTCGTATTTTTTTGTTTTTAGTGAATATTTTTAAAATTTTTAATTTTTTTTTTTACTTTTTTAGATTCACCTTACTTAGATGTATCTAAAAAGTAAAAAATTTGTGAAAAAATATTTTAAAAAATTAATAAATACATAAAAATATAAAAATGTACTGAATTCTCGTATTTTTTTTTATATTTTTGGTATTTAGTGAATTTTTAAAATATTTTTTTCACAAATTTTTTACTTTTTAGGTATATTTATGTTAGGTATGCCTAAAAAGTAAAAAAAATTACTTAAAATATTAAAAAAATTCAGTAAAAACAAAAAAATACGGAAAATAAGAAAGTAGAATTTTCTAAAAAGTGTTTTTTGAAAACAGGAACCAAGAACTTTGATGTTTTACGTGTAATTTTACAATTTAACAAACCTAAACTTTGAGAAAAATGGATTGGAACTTTTAACTTCAATTACCTCACACTATTATGTAATTATATATATAGTATAGATAGTGTAGATTTATTATTATTTTTAGCTCAATAGGAGGGGCTTATTAATAAATATACTAAGGGGTTGTTTGGAATAACCTAAATAAGTGTACTTTTTGTCTTTTTACGAAAATATGTATAGAAAAGTAGAGAGACGATGTGATGAAAAAAAGATAAAAAGATAAAAAAATGAATTATTTTGGGTATGCCAAACTTGGCCTAAAAGACAATAGTCAAGAGAAATTATAAAATAAAAAAATAAATAAATAAATAAATAAGACGAAATAGTGATCATTTAATGACATGTGTATGTATATATATTTTTTGGAAATTGAAATCTTATTTAATATTATTTGGAAGAAAAAATTACATATTCTTTATAAAAAATGTTAAAGATCCCAAAATTCTACTAAATGTTTGACATAAGTGTAAGACTCACATGAAATTCATATATATGGTATGAGTCCCACACTTATATAAAATATTTGATAGAAATTTTAATAAAAATTTTAAAATCTATAACATTATTCACTTTTTATAAGGAGGGAAATCATTAATAAATGTAATTGAGAATAATTATCACGAATCATAAGCAAATTTAAGTTTTCAAGAAGAAGAAGAAGACAAAACCATAGTAATTTCATGACGTGTGTTTTTTAAAAAATAAAAAATTAAAATATGATTTATCATCTATGTATACTGTTATGAAGAGAAGGAGTGCTTTACTTTTTTTTTTAACTTTAGACCTTCCATTTATTTGGTCTCACATATTTTAAAATTACTTCACACGTATATTTCTTTGTATTCCCATTATATTTTCAAGTTTACCCCCCTTTTCATTGCACCCCATTCTGTTACCGTGTCAACCCTTTTCCATGCCATTTTTCCACTCGAGCAACCCCCTTCGCCATCTCCATGCAACCAAAATTCATTAAAAATTCTAAGGAAAACGCATAACTAAATAAACTTAAAAAAAATTCCATATTGATTTATTGATAGAATTTTTGAAATATAGAAGTTAAAACAAAAATGGAAAGAAGCTTAAGTAGTAAATGATTTAAAAACTTTCAATAACTATCAATGAGTAGTATCTATGAAGTAAAAATTGATACACAAGTCCATTTTTTAGACTTATTTTCTAGACCAAATGATGTGTAAGTGAAATAATTAGTTGATAAATAAAGGAGACGTGAGAGAGACAGAGAGAGATCTGACTTAGATATTCTAATAGACCGTCATATTATTTGGCTTGAAAAATAAATCTAATTTTTGGACCAAGTAATCACCCTTATGGAAATTCACAAAAGTGTTTGATCCTAACAAAATGATGTGTAAGTGAAATAATTAGTTGATAAATAAAGGAGACGTGAGAGAGACAGAGAGAGATCTGACTTAGATATTCTAATAGACCGTCATATCATTTGGTTTGAAAAATAAATCTAATTTTTGGACCGAGTAACATCACCCTTATGGAAATTCGCAAAATTTAAAAAAAAAAAATTGTTAAACCAACCAATAACATATTGGCATGTGTATTGTTGTATTTTAATAACTCAAAAAATTAAGGAAATTGTATTAAAAGTTTGAACTTCAAAGGCTATACAACGGCTTGCAATTATATAGTGTAGGTAAATATAAATTTCCATACTAACCAAAATTCATTAAAATTTATAAGGAAAATGCATGAGTAAAATTTTTTTCAAAAAATTCCATATTGATTTATTGATAGAATTTTTGAAATTTATAATGTAAAACAAAAATGGAAAGAAGCATAATAAGTAAATGACTTTAAAAACATTTCATAATGATCATTCAATGGTATTTATGAAATAAATTACATAATATAAGTAAAAATGCTATTGAGTGTTTGGGGTTAAAAGTCTCAACACAAATTTCTCAAATTATTAAATTTATAATTATAAAAAGACACATGGCATGAACGTATTGGTTTCTTATCAATATGGTAATATTTTTTGCTTCTAATCATGCCTATTTCAAAACATTTTATATAGAAACTAACACAAATTATTTATGTTTCTAAAATGTTAAAATACATGTTATGTTGATTTTCAAATAAAAAAGGCAATATTTTGAAAAATACCTATACGACAACATTCTATATATATGTCAAAAAATTAATATATTATCATTTTCATGATACCACAAATTTTACCACTAAATCATTGCATTTTTTTTTCCCTATATTTTTATGAAATTGTAGGAATTGAAAAAAGATAATACTAAAATAATACTAAGGGCATTGATTTAGACCCCTTAAAACACCCACCCCACAACCCCTTCACACACACGGAGGTTGGGGATTGGGTGAGAAGAAAAAAAAAAAAAAAAGAAAAAAAAAGTTGACCAATCAAAACTAAAAGGGATCAAGGGGTGATCCCCAAAGGGGGTCTCAACCTTTATTCTAATACTAATTTTACCGTAATATTCTACTATAAATTCTCGGTGGTGCACGATCTAAAAGATTTAATTTCCGTGAAATGCAGTATAAAATTTTTACCATGATACTAATTCGGTGTTTGGGGTTAAACATAATACTAAAATAATACTAACTTTACCATAATATTTTACTATAAATTCTCGGTAGTGTACGATCTAAAACATTTAATTTCCTTCAAATTTAGGTTAAGTTTGGCATAACTCAAAAAAGCTAAAAAGTCAAAAAGTCACTGTTCTATTTAAGTCATATCATCTTATTTAAGTCATATCACGTCTCTACCACTGTAACAACCCTCATACTACTTACCGATTAATGACTGATTGATTACCGATAGACACTGATTACCGTTAAACTGAATTGATTATGACTGATAATTGAGCTGATTAAAAGTACTGAACTGACTGACTGGAGTCTGGAATTAATTGACTGACTGTATCTGTTTAAATGCATAACCTATCTGTTTGATTGTTTGATTATCTGTTCATGTTTTATGTTTAAACTGCTAATTGAAGGCCTTATCGGCGGCCGAACCGGGAATCGATTAATGTTTTATAATCCTCATAATTAATGTGAGTTTATGGTGTATTTACCTGAAAACTGATTAGGTATGACTAAATTAGATTAAAACAAGCTAATTAAAGAGTTAGGCTTAATTACCAAATTGCCATTGTTAGTGGGCCTCTTATTATAACATATTAGAGCCTTGTGCACACTTGAAACAAACATTTCCTCAGCCTTGTTTGATGCTCTAGCCGACCTTAGAGAGAGAGAGAGAGGAGCTAGAAGAGTTGAGTTCAACTTGTTTCATGGTGAATTGGCTAGAATTGCTTAAAGAATTGAAGGTTGATTACTAATTTGAGCTCCCTCACTTCTAATTCTACACCTAAGGTAGATCATTCATCATCTTAATGGTGTCTTTGAGTTGTTCTTGCATGATTCATGCTTCATTGTAGAACTAAGTCATGAATTGGTTCATTAATCAACCCACTTATCCAAAGCACTTTGAACAGACAAACTTGGAGCAGCCATGATAGCCTTGAACAATGCCGAAGAAGCTCTCATTTGTGGAGGTCTTTTCTCAGTTACTTCTGCCTCAGTATCAAATAATTCCAGCTCATTTTGAGGTTCTTCTACACCATCACCATCATCTTCTTCTTCAGAGAGCTCTGGTTCGGAAATCAATTGATCTTCGTTTAAATCGTCAACATTGCTGTCTTGAACCACATCAGCAGCACTAGCTGCAGTCTCAAGCTCAGAAAACCCATCCTCCAAATCATCTTCTTCTTGTGCACTGCTTTTTGTGTCAGCCTGTGAAGAAAAACGGCAACACCCCATAAAGAAATTTGGGGAACCATGTGCTGCACTGTAAAATCTCTTCAAAGAGATGCATCCATCAGATGCTACTAGGCGAGAATCAACATTACTGGCTTTGACATCTAAACAACAACTTGCTACACCCACGGAAGGTAAGCTGCTGTAAAAGTAAAGAGACCCAAGAAACTCATGTGGATAAAAGGATTTTGCTTGCTCCAAACATCGACCTGTAAAATGGGGCAAAATGTAACAAGCTTTCCAAAACAGTTAATGCATAAAGGGTTTATCAATTAGAAATGTTTTATATGTAAACAGAGAAACACTAACCATCATGAATGTCAATGAATTGCTCAAAAATTTTATATGTTGTTAGAATCGAGGACCGATGGAAAGTAATGGTTGTGGGGGATTGTTGTAGTTGGAAACCAAGGTTGGTAAACTGCAGCTGATGAAGTAGCGATGGTTGAAGTAGCAAATCCTGATGATGCTGTAGTAGAGAAGAGTGGCAGTGGAACGTCACCACCAAATGGGCCTTGGAATTGCAATGCCCAGCTCGGTGAAGAATCAAATTCCATACTATTCTCTATTGCTCTTCCCTGTTGACGGCAAAAAATAAAATAAAATAATGGAATTGTTAATCAACTTGTGAAAAATCAATATTCATAGTAAATAATAACAAAGATGGCCAATAAATCATATGGAGCTCCATGGGATGAAAATAGACACATGGTCGCATTAAACTAGCCCCAAAAGTTTCATAACAACAAAAGGGAAAACCCCTAACTTCTATTCTATCAGCTTCAAAACTGGTGATTGCTGATTAGTAGTCATTACAGGAAGATGATGGATTGTAGCCAAATGATCTAGCTTTTTCAATAAGTTAGAAGAGAGGTGTTAAGCGATAATGTTTTCCCAGCAACAAAAGCCAGCTAATGATTCTATAGTCCAACCAAAACTTCCAATATGTGATCAAATGATCATTTAGTCTAAACTCTAAATGCAAGAGCAGAGAAAGTTGTTGCTAATGTAGTAATAGCAAGAAATAAATTGGATAGTTGGATAGAGTAAAATTACCTCACAGATGGGAACGGCATGGGAATTTACACCTTTCCAGAGAGGAGGGTGCTCAGAAACCATTATTTGGCCATGAGGTAGTTGAATTCCCATTGTTGTAACGGAGTTCTCAGCCTGTAAGAGGAAAAGATAAATCTGCTACATAAACTCACGTAAGACCTTCCAAAATTCGAACATAGCATGTATACAGAATGATCACTGGTTTGACTAATCCAATCATAGAGCAAAACCGGACAGACTACAATCTTAATATACGGCTTTTAAAATTACCCTTCTGTTCTCATGCATAATTGAAAATAATTGAATCACAAAGATAATTTTCCGAACCCATATCACAAAGATAATTGAAAATAATTTTCCGAACCCATATCACAGAAAAACTTCAGAGGATAAAATTGTTTAAACTTCCAGCCCAATACCATTATTACCTGGCTCTACCATGTCGCACTGCCTTCAATCAGGAATAAGAAACTAAAACGTAGAAAAGTTAAATGAAAGCAGTTTATGTTTCTATATTAAGCAATAGCATTAATGCTCTCATTGATTATTACAATCACTAATCACTAATCAAAAGCATCAATTTTCACTAATCACTAATCAATTTTTACCAATACCATAGGTTTTATGTGCATGTGACACAACTGCTACACTTACCCAACATCAATGTGCAAAATTAGAGCCCACCATTTTAAAGTTGAATATTCTATTCACCACACATGCATAAACTTGCATCAACTAATGCTCATAAACCCAAGAGAGCTAATGATCCAGTAACAGAAATCATGCTCTTGACCACATTATATCCATCCGTACAAAACCAAAATAAGCAAATAAAACTAACGAGGTCTGCCTTCACACCAGTAAACTGTCATCTCAATTTCAAATCTCAGTTGACAGCTCAGTTATATATAGGTTTACTCAAACTACAGAAATATTTAAAAATTTCTGAAGTTAAAAACGATGGTTCACTCCATTGGTTCACTCCTCAGCAAAATCTGAAGCCTCAGCAAAATCTGCCCAGCCATTGGTTCACTCCTCTCAAGT